TGGTCGATTTCAATGGCAAAGTGGGAATAATAACGAGGATGTTGAGCATAAGGGCAAGAGCGGTCTACCTAATCATAATGAAAATGGTCATATGTGTTGTGGGGAGCCTGTAACTGAAGTGAAAGCCATGATACTTGAAGCACCCCAGATAAACCCGGAGGCATTCTTTCCCCACCACGTTCCTTTGTCTGTTTACGTAATTATCCTAATCCAGTGTCCTACTGTAAACCCTGGTGTCTTTATTCTTTGGTAAAAGCCGTTAATTTATTGTTTATAATGAGATTCAGATTCCGATGTTCTTACGTTGTATCTCCTCCTATTTACATTTTCTTACAGTGCATTCTGGTTTGTTTTGTCAGAAACTGTTGTTATCATTTTATGTTCTGTTTTGCGACTATTAATACAAATATTTGTGACATCTATGGACTGATATTTTGTGTCAATGTACACGTGTAGTTTTCAGATCATTTTTAAATTTATCGAATTGTTTGTTGAAAGCACTGGGCACATTTATTTGCCGACTGATGACATTGGTTGTATCTTTTGATAAAATACAACCAGACACTTCTTGCCAGTTATATATTTGTCAAATTAGGACACGTCTTATGTTTCCTGCATATCCTCTTAGATTAAAATTACTTCTATGATTAACATCAGGTGATGAATAAAGTGTCCTCTGCATATGGGTGCAAAATTAAGGTCGAAAATAAAGTATAGCCGTCTGCCACATGCCGTGGAGGCGCTTGGGAGGAGATTAGGTGCACAGCTCCTAATTCTTGACCTCAGCACTAATGGCCGTGAGTGACCCCCTCAGTACACATTTGATAGGAGGCTGGGTGGCCCCAGAGCTGATACAGACGCAGGCTAGAAGAAATATTCTTTGCCTCTGCCAGGGATCAAACCCCGGTCATACAGTCCACAGTCAGATACCGTATTGAGTTGCCCTGGCTCATAAAGCGGAAAATAAATGTTCTGATAACCACGAAGGGATAAGTCCAGGAATCAACATTCTACTAGGATTTTTAAATGGACTTCTGACCTTCCATAACTGACTGGAGAATGGCTACATGTTCTTTGTTACAATGCTGCAGTACGCTGGCCAGCGCTCCTCCATCTGCCCGCTGTACAACAGCCACAAAATATTTCTCCAAAACACCGATCACTTCTTGCTGCACCTCCCAAGTCGCAAATACATTCCTCAGATTCTCCCCACCATCTCTGTTACATCTGTTTCTCTCCAAAGTACTCCTCCCTACAAAAACAACAGGCACGATCAACACTTTAATACCACGTAGCACGATGACTTCTTTTAAATGAACGTAAGACGCAATTCAGGTACAGACAAATCTCCTAAAAACTCCAAAAACTTTTAATTTTCAGGAGTTCTACACTCTAGTGTGGATATAAAACATCTCTAGGGCCTGTCTACGTATCTTGTGATTTTCCTACGAGGTAGGCAACCTGCATGATGAGGGGTCATGTTGCACACTGGGAACTGAGGTCCAAATGTTAGAACATACTGTTGCACGACAATTGGAACTGACAAAACTTTTGGAATATGGTTACACAACAATGCCCTATAAGATGTGGCTTCGTGGAATGAAGAATTCCTTTAAAATGTAACTGTTACTCCAAAGCATATAATACTTCAATTCTGTTCTAAAAAAACTTACATGGCAAATTCAATTACGAAAATATTTTGTTTACTTGAAGAAAACAACGTAAAAGTCAGGGGTTGTCATTGAATTAACTTTCATCAATGTTTATCGTCTTGTCCAAAACGAACTGCTCACATTCACCAGGATCATCAATTAATCCCCTCATTTCATTTCTATAAATTCTTTTGAACAGAAAATGTATCAGATCAACGGAATGCTGCATAAACCACCTGTTACTGATGCTAAAGCTCTGGCAAGCGGTCAATCTCTGCATTCCGCAAGAAATAAATTTTGTCACAGTTATCCATACAAAGAAAATACGGACATCGAGATTATCTCCTATGTCAAAGACGATATTACGCTTCCCAGCTGGAGTTGAGTGAGCATGTAACACGTT